TTTGCATGATGAGGATGCCTTTTTCCATGGCTTTTCCCAGTGGTTGGTCTGGAACCTGGGTCTGTTGCCATGGTGATGGCTCTGTCCTCTTCTGGCTAGGGGCTTTCTGTAGAAGGGTTTTGCATTGTGGCAATGCTGGGTGCCTTCTGGTGCCCGCTTTGTATTCTGAGTTGTGAAGTTCAGAATCAGCAGCGATCAGTCCATCAAATGAAAAATTGTGTTTTTGATTGGTCCAGACGCTACACCCTAAAGGGACATGATGATGGAAAAATTGTTTCAATACTTTGCATTCTGTAACAAAACTTTTACGTTCCCCAAATAAACTCAGAGTTCGCTCACAAAACGTTTGTGATGTAAATAATATGAGATGGGAGAAAAAACTACTTCAGTGCTTTTGTGAGTGAATGCAAAATATTGTTTAGAAATACAATACTTTTATGAGAGCATGCAAAAGCATTGAAAAATAATTTTTCCTCCCATCTCGTATTATTTTCCATCGACATGTCTTCTTAGGGCCTCTGTATCGCTTACTAAAAAACAATGCACAACTTTGGCCAAACAATTACAGTATATATTGATCATTTTACCATATATTGCTAGTTGAACTGTAAAAATGTGTCATTGCTTTTGCGGAGACATGCAGACACAAAAAACATAGACTCTGACATTGCGTTTAAGGCTGTTCACACTTTTAATAAATGTCAACAAGCACTACAAGTTACAATACAAATATTGATTTCTGAAATTCTTCACTTTCAAGCGTTCAAACCCTCAGGCTTTTATTTTGGCATAAAATTATTAGTGCTGAAAGTGCTGTAGACATCTGTCCGCAAAATTGATGGAAATTATGTGAATGTAAATAAAGGACAATTAGCATTTCCAAATGCATGTTAAACTCACAGCGCTTGCAGAGATGGAGTTTATGAGAAGCAGCGTTTATTGTGAAGTGAGCCGCTCTGAGATGCTGAAAGCACGCTATTATCAGCTGCACGCGTGTTAACTGAACAAGATATACAAGATATATCACTATTTCACTTTTCACTCTTCGCTTAGTTGTACAGCCCTGTTTCTTTAAAACAATTATTTGGAAACCCTGCTCTACAAGAATGCATTGTTCTCAACATGTCTTCAGCAGCACATTTACTGCAGAATGCAGGGAACGCGACACACTCATTCACAGCCTCTCTGCCAGTCCTCTTCTCTTTTTGTCCCCTTACGTGGGCGACTTTGACGTCTGCAATATTCACCCGTGCCTGAAAGCAGGCCTGCCTCAACAAACATGTCCAGTCACATTATCCAGTTTGTGCTTGGGTACACTGGGCTGCAGTGATAGTGGGAGGAAGTCAAGGGAAGGTTATTTGTGTGGATCTGTGTGACTTTGTGTCGAAAGTTTCCTCTAAACACATCTATCACTGTTGCTTTGATGTCCTTAAGAAAGTGGGCGCTGTTCATGCCGATGCACTCCCATATTTCCCCCTCGTGCTCTGCATCTGTGTGTTTTCCACAGTTTGTCTCATGCATCAGAAACACAATAGCACATGTTATAATGCGGCATGAACCTGCTCCTGTCATTCGCAGATGTACAGAAGCCCATTTCCACAGCATGATAAACAAATTAATGCTTTGCTAAATCATAATTATGACATAAGCCATTATGAGATTAAAAAAAGTCAAGATTATGAGGTACTAAGTCATAAATATGAGGAAAAAAGTCACAATTATGACAAAAATATACAATGTCATAGTATTTAAGAATTTAGACCTTTTTATTTTATAATTATGATGTTTGAGATTATGATCTCATAATTATGGCTTAGTATCTCAATTTTGAATTTGATCTCATAATTGTAACTTAGTGTCATCATTTCAACTTTATCTCATAATTATGGCGTAGTATCTCAATTTTGAAATTTATCTCATAATCATGGCTTATCCCAAAATGAATTTTTATCTCATAATGACTTAACATCTCATAATTTGTCTTTTGATCTCATAATTATGACTTAGTATCACCATTTCAACTTTATTTCATAATTATGGCGTAGTATCTCAATTTAGAATTTTTATCTCATAATCATGGCTTATCCCAAATATGAATTTTTATCTCATAATTTGTCTTTTGATCTCATAAAAATAACTTAGTATCATCATTTCAGCTTTATTTCATAATTATGGCTTAGTATCCCAATTTTGAATTTTTATCTCATAATCATGGCTTATCCCAAATATTAATTTTTATCTCATAATGACTTAACAGCTCATAATTTGTCTTTTGATCTCATAAATATAACTTAGTATCATCATTTCAACTTTATCTCATAATTATGCCTTAGTATCCCAATTTTGAATTTTTATCTCATAATTATAACTTAGTATCATAATTTCAACTTTATCTCATAATTATGCCTTAGTATCCCAATTTTGAATTTTTATCTCATAATTATAACTTAGTATCATAATTTCAACTTTATCTCATAATTATGGCGTAGTATCTCAATTTTGAATTTTTATCTCATAATTATAACTTAGTATCATAATTTCAACTTTATCTCGTAATTATGGCGTAGTATCTCAATTTTGAATTTTTATCTCATAATCATGGCTTATCCCAAATATGAATTTTTATCTCATAATGACTTAACATCTCATAATTTGTCTTTTGATCTCATAAATATAACTTAGCATCATCATTTCAAATTTATCTGATAATTATGGCTTAGTATCTCAATTTTGAAATTAGTATCTCATAATTTCAACTTTATCTCATAATTATGCCAAAGTGTTCCTATATTTCTCCTCTTATGCTCTGACAAGCACCTCTGTGTGTTCATCACAGTTGTTGCATGCTGCAGGGATGCAGCAGAAATGTTCAACACAACGTGCATGTCATAATGCAGCATGTGAACTGCACTGATTGACATTACAGTAGCCTTTATTCACAATATTAAAGCTATTATGTCAGTATTGACTAGTTCCATATGTCTTTCATGACTGACAAGCTCCAACAAAAGACAAAAACAACACCATAAATGTATCATAACAGTAGTCTACATGTCTCATGCACTGTATTCCAAGTATTCTGGAGTCATGTGTTATTTTCATGTGAGGAACAGACTGAAATGTAAGATTGAAAAACTTAATTGTAAATGTTCGTTGAAGTGGATCAGACTGATACACAGCTGCTGCTGAATGAGAAGACAGCAGCAGAATTATGTACTTTATAAAGTGCATTTGATTGTTATGATAGCGTTGCATTGTGGGATCTGTCATGTGAAGTTTGAAGAAGTTGACGAGCTGTATGTGTGTTTTGGGTCACGCCGTGTCCACAGTCTCAGCTGCTGGCTCTGTGCAGTGGCGTGTTTGCTTCTGCGTGTGTTCTGCTGTGTGTTGGTGGAGGATCAGGGCTTTGAGGGCATTAAAACACATTGCTCAAGAAGGCAACTTCCGCAGCCATGCGGCCTTCAGCGCGCCCCGCCGTGTCCTCACCCCACAGCGCCTGCAGGTCAGCAGGAGCGCAGGGAAATTCCTGCCCCGCTCTGCTAGAGAAGCTCCCACACGCAGCAGTCGAAAGGACTCTCCGTCATGCTGACAGATCCGCGCTGACATCGTCTCTGGAGGAAAGCGCTCCGGCCGCGAGAGGACACGAGGGGGGGGGGGGTTTGCCCTGAATTAATGCTGTTCCTCCTCTGCACTCGCTGCACAGACACACTGGAGGATAATTAATTAAATTATCACACGGCCAACTGCAGATGACAGCAGGACATTAAAGAGATCTGAAATATTTATTAAAAATGTACCATGTCCGGCGTGCTGCAATCAGGTGGTGTGTGTGCGGTTTAAATGGGGTCTTCTTGCTTATCACCACAAATGTTACCGTGAGAAAAACAAATAAGCAAGTGAATTCTTTGCCAAACCCCCTGAGCACAACCCCAATGACAACTGAAAACAGAAATTAATAATTATGATATAAAAAGTAATTATGGGATAAAAAGTCAATATTATGATATATCAAAAATGTCTTTTTCATAATGTAGTATCTCATATTTGTTACTTTTTGTCTCATAATTATGAATACCGTGTCATAATTTTAACACAGGTATCTCAATAAATATGACTTGGTATCTCATAATTTTAAATTTTTACCTAATGACTTAGTATCTTATAATTTTGACACATATTTTATAATATCACTTGACATCTCATAATTGTGACTTTTTAATCTCATAATTATGTCTTAGTATAATTTTGACAATCATTTCATAATAATAACATAGTATCTCATAATTACAACTTCTTATCTCATAATTATGACTCGTATCTCATAATTGCAACTTTTTTATCTCATAATTATGACTTGGCATCATTTTTGAGTCTGTTTATCTCATAATTGTGTATGTCACAATTTTGACACTTGCAGGTATCTCATAATTTTAGATTATTTTTAACCTCATTCACATCTCATAGTTATGCCTTAGTATCTCATAAATGATGACTTTGTATCTCATGATTTAGTATCTTATAATTTAGACTTTTTTCCCCCCTGTTGCTAGAATAATTGTTTTGTACACTGTAATGTATTATAAGATAATAAATAGGTAAAATTTTACAACGGTTTCTTCTCCAATCCATATTTATATGTCCCCGTCATTTTTTATGTACTGGAAAGTGATAACTATTATCTCATAATTATGACAACTTTTTAAATCTCATCAGTTTTGACTTTTATCTCATAATTATTACATAGTATCATCCCACTTATGTGATAATTATGAATTCATGTTTTTTTTTCGTATGTGGCAGAAATGGGCTTCCATAGTGACATGATCATTATATTCCTTTATTTTGTGGAGTATCCGCCTGCAGGTTCACTGATCAAGCATGTGAGAGTCGGTGTGTTTTCAGGGGTGTTTGTGTGTGATTTATTCTCCTGCAGGGCTCCGGAGGGCGGTCTCTGCCTCTCAGTAGATGTCCTTGCCAGAACGCCATTGACAGGATGACAGAAGAGCTGGAATATGCTGATAAAACTCCAGACGTCCAGGGAGGATGTCCATCAAACGCTGAGCGCAGTTGTCAGTCGGAGCCGGGTGAGACGTGTGTGTGTGTGTGTTCTGGTAGAAAGCACATCATACTGTCAGCCTGCAGCATAACTATTACTTCACTGATATTCTTTCAAAACTATATTGGCTCATCGAACACCAAAACAAAAGAAGTATTGCACTACTATGGTTTTGTTGAGGGTAATGTCAGAAAGTGAATAGAGGAACCATAGAGCTGCAGTGTTTCAGCAGTGTTTCATGCACCCACCGTATAATTGTGCATCTTTAGAATAGCAAAATAAAAAGACAGACCAAAAGCGCTTGAGTTGTACGGAGCTCATTGACTCTGTTGGGAACGGTCCTGGATAATACCGTGTTTTTGGGCATGAACCACGTGTTTTGGATATTGCCATAGTTCATTCCATGGTGTTTATATGTTATATAGTATATGTCTGTATTATTTTAATCATTCAGCACCATGATATTGTCCAGGCCAGTGGTCCCTTTTGACTTCAGGGTCAATATTTGAAGGGCCTCTCCCTGTGACGGCTCTGGTTCATCTGCTGTAATGACAACTTACAAAACCTAGGAGTATCCTAAGTAAAATTCCATCAAACGCTGAGCGCAGTTGTCAGTCGGAGCCGGGTGAGACGTGTGTGTGTGTGTGTTCTGGTAGAAAGCACATCATACTGTCAGCCTGCAGCATAACTATTACTTCACTGATATTCTTTCAAAACTATATTGGCTCATCGAACACCAAAACAAAAGAAGTATTGCACTACTATGGTTTTGTTGAGGGTAATGTCAGAAAGTGAATAGAGGAACCATAGAGCTGCAGTGTTTCAGCAGTGTTTCATGCACCCACCGTATAATTGTGCATCTTTAGAATAGCAAAATAAAAAGACAGACCAAAAGCGCTTGAGTTGTACGGAGCTCATTGACTCTGTTGGGAACGGTCCTGGATAATACCGTGTTTTTGGGCATGAACCACGTGTTTTGGATATTGCCATAGTTCATTCCATGGTGTTTATATGTTATATAGTATATGTCTGTATTATTTTAATCATTCAGCACCATGATATTGTCCAGGCCAGTGGTCCCTTTTGACTTCAGGGTCAATATTTGAAGGGCCTCTCCCTGTGACGGCTCTGGTTCATCTGCTGTAATGACAACTTACAAAACCTAGGAGTATCCTAAGTAAAATTAGCAGTGAAGAATTGTTAAATAATTTATTATTATTATTATTATTAAATAGTTATTATAATAATTATAATAATAATTGTTTCGTTTTTATTTAAAAAAAAATAATAATAAAATTAAAAGTTTCAGGATTCCGAATGCTGAATGTTTTTATTTTATTTTTAATTTGAAAGTGTTACTGATTTTGTTGTGTTTTGTCATTTTTCTTAGTTTTTGTTTTTTTATGTATATACGGTTTTCATAGCATTTCATTAGTTATTTTAGTATATCAAGATAAACTAAATGAAAATGAAAAACTAGCTGAATTTAAAACGTTTTTTTAATTATTTTTTTTATTTCAAGGAACAAAAATGGTTTTATGGTTTTAGTTTTAGTTAACTAAATATACTGGATAAGATTTTTTTTTTTTTTTTTTTTTTT